CAAATTTATTGTATAAAAATATGAGGAAAAAAACCAAAGACATTCCACATATAAAAGTGTAAATAAAATACCCGGACTTCAACACCTGCAAAGTAAAGCGACCTTGAAAAATGAAAATAAAAATTTCTTCAGCAAGTTGCCTCCTGCAAATCAGTCTTGTTAGACCTGTTTTGTGACGTGGGACTGACGCGTTATCCACAACCGCGGTACAAGGGCCACATTTTTTGTTTTTATTGGAAAACAGATTTACAGCAGTGGATACCTGCAATTTAGAAGTTACTTGGAGTGCAGAAGGCCTCCATACATTAACGAGGCTCTCTACACACAGCTAGATGCACTGCCCGGCCCCCAAAAAAGTCACTTAGTTGAACCGTCTTTAGCTTTGATTACGGCACGCATTCACCGTGACATCGTATTGATAAGCTTATCCAATCTCACAATATTTATTTCCCTCCAGAGTTGTATTTATTTTTCACCAAGATCTTGTAGTGATGACGGGAGAGCGAGACCAGTGTGTAAAGTCTTCTCCAGCACATCCCAAAGATTCTCAATGGGGTTAAGGTCTGGACTCTGAGCTAGGGTTGCCACCCGTACGGGTTTCACCCGTACAACCCGGGTTTGGAATCATGTGCCCGGGTCTGTGGCAACCTCCTGCCCGGGCACATGATTCAAACATTACAATGCCGCATACCTGCATTTCTGGCGGCGGACGGCGGAACGCCGGGTGGCGCTGTCTCCTGTTCCTCGACTCTCCCTCCCTCCTCTGTTTCCTCCGCGGCTGTAGTGGGAGGAAGTGGCATCAGGGAGAGAGGGAGCCGTGAGGGACGAACCTTCCTCCGGCAGCCAGCCAGCAGGGGTGGAGAGCAGCGCTTTCGTCTGGCAGACGAGTTTGGGGCCGCCCTTCTCATCTCCTCAGCGACCTGTTATCTCACCTTTGAAGAAAAGCAGGTATTTATTAAATTTTTCATCAAATGCAATACCAATTGGAAAGGGGGGGGGGGATCAGTATTGCCCATTAAACATGAACCTGTCATCTCACCTTTGAAGAAAAGCAGGTATTTATTAAATTTTTATCAAATTCAATATTAATTGGAAAGGGGGGGGGGGAATCAGTATTGCACATTAAACGTGCCCCCCCAAAAAATGTTTTGTGGGGGCATCTTTTATGTGCAATAGTACACATCAAGGATACAGGCAGGGGAACAAAACCTGACACAATTTCTTTATAGGTGACACAATAGGAAATGAAGGTCGGGGACACAGATGTTATGTGATATATTTTAATACACACAAAACAAATAAAACGTATGTCTGGTGTTCTACTTAAGGGCTTGTTTCCACCTGCCCGCACATCTACCGCAATGTCCCGTGCCCGGAACGCGAGGGACCGCCTATATAAAGTCTCCCTGCGCTCTGGGACGGGGGCGTGGCAGTGCCATTCACGTCAATGGCACTGCAGACCCGCCCACAGTACGATCAGCCGCACGTAACTCAAGTCAATGGCACTGCAGAAATGCCCCCCGCCCACAGTACGATCGGCCGCGAAGGAACGTGCGGTAATAAAATGCCCTGCATTCCAATGCGGTGGGATCCCAAAAAATCGTTCATGCATGATTTTTTGCGATTCCCTCTACACTGGAACGCAGGGGATTTTATTACCGCACGTTCCTTCAAGGCCGATCGTACTGTGGGCGGGGGGGGGAGGGGCATTTCTGCAGTGCCATTAACTTGAATGGCACTGCCACTCCCCCTCCTACCCCAGAACGCAAGGAAACAATATATATGCAAACCCTTGTGTTCCAGGAATGGGACATTGCGGTAGACGTGCGGCTGGTGGAAACAGCTAATAAATGCAACTTAGTAAAATTAAAAAATTGCGGGCGGGGGATTTTTTGCCGCAGAGGCATGCAAAGTCTCCAGGGTTGCCACCCATCCGGGATTCACCTGGACAGTCCAGTGTTCTACCAACATTTGTTATTACGTTAGAATGTGTGACCCGTCACGTGGTCACACATTTTAACGTAATCCCGCCCAGTTTTTCGGCGGTGGAATGTGTGACCACCCTTTAGCTCAAGCATTACAACGCTTTGTGAGCTCTTCCAGGGCAGATCGGCACCAGAGACGGTATGTGCTGGAGAACCGATCTGCCCCGGGACAGCTCACTTTTGTCCGACTTTGTAAAATGTGAGACCTATTGCCGGTTAGATTTCATCGCCAAAAAAACTGGGTGGGATTACGTTAAAATGTGTGACCACGTGACTACTCACACATTCCAACCTAGTCACAAACTTTGATAGAACAACGGGTTTTGGAATCCTGTGCTCGTGTGTGAGCCCGAATCACACCGGCGCACATTATTCACACCGGACTTGTGGCTCCCTGCTGGTGCTGCCACTGTCACTTGTCGAGTCCCTCCCTCTGTTTTTCTCCTACGCGGCAGGGACTAGGTGGGAGGAAGTGACATCAGGGAGGTCCTCCAAAATCACCATCTCCACCATGCGCTGTCATCTGGGACCAAATAGCCGGCACCACCCCAGTCTCACGCCCCAGTCTCCACTACTAACAGGTAACCGTGTATATATATATATATTATACTGTATTAAATATCAATTGAAAAGGGGGGGGGCTAGTATAGACCATAAAACGTGCCCCCATAAAAAATGCCACAAGTAACCTGTGACATCTTTTGTGGGAGCATCTTTTATGTGCCATAGTACATATCTGAACTCCAAAACAGATGTCACCGGCACCAAGATCCCATGTTACTGCAAATCCATTTTATTGATAGTTGTCATTCAAACGACAAGCGCTTTCTGGGCTGGGCCGGGTCCCCTTCATCAGGCTCAGAAATAGCATTACATAAAAGGGCCACAACTTTTATATGGACATAATAGAATGTAATTTCTGAGCCTGATGAAGGGGACCCTGCCCAGCCCAGAAAGTGCTTGTCTTAGGAATGACAACTATCAATAAAATGGATTTGCAGTAACATGGGATCTTGGTGCCGGTGTGCTGGAGACATCTGTATTGTTGTTCTGTTGTGAGCAGCGCCAGTGAGCAGGAGGTGACAACGGGCACTTCTGAAGCCCTCACATAGATATTTTTAAGGCTGTTGTAATATTTGTGTGTGATAGGGTCAATCCTTGACTACAATCACCTCTTGCAGGTTTGTTGATCAAGTCAAGCATAAAAAACGTCAGGACCTGCTGCACTCTTCCAGATAGTCATCTGCCAGCTGGTCAACTTAGCCTTAAAAAAGGACCCGTGGCCATGAATAGAAAAGTAAAATGTGTTCATGTAGGGTTTCAGGGACCTCCAGGTACTTGCATGTTGGATTTTATTTCTAAGGGGCCTCCAATCCCTAGATACTGGAGATGTCTTATTAAGGAGGAACACATCAGGAGAATCCCTTGTCATCACATTTTGATTCTTCTGAATATTTGCATGTCTGATCTGCAGAGAACCAAGCAATGTCGTGAATCCAGGCAATCGTCATTTCACAGTCATATGATTTTCTGCTGAAAAGACAACTCTGTTGTGCACATAGTCAAGAGAATAAAAAAATATTCACACTTGCCTAATCTTTATGTCGTTTTTGGCTAATCACTAGCTCTGATATGAAAATGGCTTTTGTGGTCACCAGCTCTGCCCTGCTCCCTTCTGCCTCCCACTAGTGACCCATCAATTTGGTGAGTGGTCACACTAGCTAATAGCAGGGATCCCAACCTGAGAAGTCATTTCAGGGAGGTGCCCTTCTCATTTCAGGGAGGTGCCCTCTGTCAACCTCCCCCTCCACTCCACGCGGGGGGGTGGGGGGGGGAGTTGGGGTGCAGAAACAAGGAAGAGAGCACCCCCCTGAAATGATGGCAGATAGCAAAGAAGCTAATGCCTCCTTTACTATCGGCTCTTTTTTTTGTGTTCTGACAGCTGCTGCCGTCAGGAAAAAAAAATTGCATTGGAACTAATAGCTAGATTGCTATTGGCTATTTTAATGTGCAATAGCCAATAGCAGATTAGCTATTGCACCCGCCCTCTGCTGCTGTCAGTCAGCAGAGGTGGACCTGATGGAGAACTTCAGGTCCACCTGTGCTCATTCACAGCAGCAGTGGACAGGTGCAATAGCTAATCTGCTATTGGCTATTGCACATTGAAATAGCCAATGGCAATCTAGCTATTAGTTCCTATGGCGTTTTTTTCCCCCTGATGCCAGCGGCCCCAACGTCAGAAAAAAAAACCCAGACAGCACAGAAAGGTTTACTCTGCTAGGTCGACCTTTACGGGAGAAAATGTTTCTCTCCCAGGTGTCCGGGAGCCGCTATCTAATAGCGGGAGACTCCCGGAACATCCGGGAGAGTTGAGATATCTGCCAATAGTCAAGTGCAGGAGGTGGGACAGCTATACCTGATGGGGCTCCATGAAGGAAAATGGAATGGGGATTATTTATATAGTTAGCTGGAGTCATGCAACTCCTTGAAAAAGTCTTGAAAGTGAATTAAGTGTTGTTATATAGTATACTTTTATAAAGACCAAAAGTAGCAAAAGTTAATCATGTAGGCAAAGAGGTTTAGGTTTTGTTTTTATTGTAAAGATTACCACCCCCTATTTTTTTAACATAACATTTCCCAAAATACATACATGAACAGCACTTCCTACTAAAAAAAGTCCATATGTAAATTTTCTTAAATTAAAATACAAAGCCATTACATTTCCCTCTCTATTTGCATTTTTTTGTATTATTCCCCTTTTTCACTTTGGGAACACAGGGCATCATAAATGAAAACTGGAAAGAAAGAAAACTAGAAGTGTTGTCCAGGAAAACAGCAGCTGAAATCTGACAGGTTGCTTTGGGTGACACCTCCATTTTCCTATCCTTGCAGTTTTCATAAATAGGCCGAAGCGCTAGCTAGGGACCAGTCCATTCAGCTTGTATTGTCTCGGCACGGAGGGCAGGCTCCCTCTGCAGGTCATTTTGGAATCCAGACCATTGTCTTTTCAGGTTATAGTGCTCTCTTGCTTTTCCATTCATTGACTTGTATCAGTTTTCAACAGGTCCTTCTGGTTTGGCTTGTTCCAGGTTACTGCCCCCTCCACCTTCTGAATCCCAGCACCGTGCTACAACCATAGCAAACTGTGACCGCAAAGGCAAAAATCTGTGAACATAAATAAAGTAATAATGTCAGTTTGTAGAAAAATATGCACACCTTTTTTTTCAATCTTAAAATGATGAGTCTTTTTTTTATATAATAAGATTTTATTTGGTTTCAGATATAATAGAACAACATTGATACAAGAAAGCCTTATTTCATATATCCTTATACGTCTATCTTCATATATATACATACATACATACATGTATACTTATATCTAATATACACTGAGTGGCCAGATTATTATGACCACCCCATCAGCACTTCGTTGGGCCGCCTCGTGACTCCACGAGATGTTGAAAGGTGATGCGAGGAATCTGACACTGCACTGTTACACTTCTGTTGTCTCGTACCAGTCTTGCCACTCTCCGTTCTGCCCTAACATTGACTAGTCGCTGACGGCCACAATTCGCACGTTCAGACCCAGATTTTCGGCTGTCAGTCCAGTCTTTAAACACTTTAACAACAGCTTGAACATTTAACGAATTCTGCTGTTTTGCTGATACTCGCTCCATGGCTCCGAGCGCCAACAATCATCCCACGTTCAAAGGCTGTTAAATCACGTTGTTTACCCATATCTTCAGAAACAAATCACTTCTACTGTCGTGGTAAACAACCTGCTTCCCTATTTATAATGGTCTGGCCCTTAGCAACTTCAGCGCAAAATTATAGCTAATTTGCCTACAAACGTCAGGTGGTCATAATAATCTGGCCACTCAGTGTACATCCCTTTATTTCCAAGACTTATCTATAACAGAAACCTTTATATGTGTGGGGAAATTCTATGTAGTAAAGTAAAATGATGAGTCTTGTACCATATTAGCCATCGAATAATGCAGAAAGTTTGGAGTGATACCCTTTATCAGTTAGCTTAAATTAGTAACATTAGCTTAAGAAACCTATTAACATTTTTTTATGTCACGATATGTTTTTATAACTTTTTTCCATCAAAAGTACAGAGTAAGTGACAGGTCCTCTTTTTCAAGTAATTGTGGGTCTAGTAGACCCCTAATGTCACCTATGGACCCAATGAAGCTAATGCATCATCAGCTTCTTCTCTGGCTACAGCAGCCAGAGAAATGACAGCCTGAAACCAGAAGTGACAAAACCCTCATCACTTCCATGTTTAGTAAGCCAAGGGGAGATCACCCACTGGAAGTGTGCGGACCTCCCTCCAGCCAAGCACATGCGCTGTGCTAGTCTTTGGACCAAACGAGGGGCAGCAGAGTCTGGAATAGCCAGCACTTTTTGGCAGCCTACAAGTAGTTGGGTGGCTCTACAGCTGCCTGACAGTATGCTGAAAAGAACAGTACCAAGATCATGGCTACTGCAGCAGCTGTTATCTTGGTGTAACCACTTCAGAACCACAGGGCTTATATATGTATTGAAGTCCTAAAGTGGTTAATAAACTAAAGACACAGTTCACTTTCCCCAGTGAGCAAGGCATACTTGCTCATCTGCTCTTTTTCACCGCCTCCCTGCTCTGTCGGAGCCATCACTCTGTTGCTCGAATGCGACTCCCCCTATGCGACAGTGATGCTAAACTCTGTTATGCTGGGGGATGAAGATGGCAGTGACTTCATCCACCTGAGTAAACTCTAAAAACAGTAGTTAACTTGTGTGCCACAGCTGCCTGTCTTTGGTCATGTTTATCGTATTTGATTTGTTCTTCTGCTCCCCCTTCTGTTTTGTCTCTAGTTAGTACAGTCCCTAGCTAGACAGCCTTTCTTTGCTGCACAGTTTAGTTTCACTTCCAACTGCAGATAGAAACAGAGACAGGGGGCTACAAAAGTCAATATCACACTTCAAAAGACTAGAAAAACACCCCGTGTACTACACTTCCCTGAAGTAAAACTATGTTGGATTCAACTTGTGTGTCTTATTAAAAGAGTTAAGTAGGGATGAGCTAGGGCTCGGAATGAGCCCAAGCTCAGATGTCCAAATAGACTTATTAGGTAAATGTCATTGACCAAATATGCCCACATAAGGTCAATGATGTCACCAGCATCCTGCCCCTATATTGGGTCCAGCTGCAGGGCGGGAAAAGTCGCATCGACAGATCATTGACCATTCATTTTATCAGCAATCTTCCCATAGGATTATATTTGTATTTAGCCTATTTTATTCATATTGTTTAACCGTAAATGCCTAAACCACTGAAACCGCTGCTAAGTGCTTCCATCTTGAATGTGATGTCTGCAGCCCCCAGCAGACTCAGGGATGTCACTTGAGTGACATCCTATAGAATTCTCCTTTCCTTCATAAAATATTATGTAAGTAGGTGAAGGGAGGATCACAGGGGCTGGACTAGCATAGCCAGTAATAAGGCACTCCCAGAAGAGGAGAGAGCTATGATGTGCAAGACGGGAGGGGGCTGTGCTAGGGCATAGACTAGTGAGTGTCAATTACCTAGCAAGTCCAGAGGCACATTGCAAGTCAATACATAATTGTTAACTGCAATGAAAACACACTGCACGTAAGCATTTAAAATATTTGATGTTTCTGTACTTTTACCTGCAATTTGGTGATGCGGTCTTTTAAAGGATTAAAGCAGTCTGGAGATGGCTAGGAGAGGGTTGATAAGAAAAGCAAAAAGAGACATAGGAGGTTATTCTCTTACCTGCCAAAGAATCTAGCCGTAGCTTCGGCTGATCCTTCGGCTCGCTTCAGCCGCCGGAGACTTATGGTTCTGTCGAACCGAAGGGCTGCTGTACGGGCTATTCACAATAGCCACATCTTCGGCAGTCTATATCTGTCCCTTTGTTTGTTCCTGTACGGCCCGCAGTGCAGACACAGACCAGTTGCCGACCTGCACTCGGTTACAGCTGACTGCCGATGGATGCACAAGCCACAGTCCAGCTCAGGTCGGCGATCGGTCCGTATATGGACCGCTGTTCTCTTCAGTCCTTGGTGCCACATACTATGTGAGGACAACTAGACTTAATTCTAGTGCAGCAGGTGCGTTCCATGCACTACTTTTTTCAACCACAACGCATGGTATTGCAGTACCATATGTTGCGGTGTAGTTGATCGCATTGCGGCTGCAACAACTAATCGACATAATCGATTATTGAAAAAGTTGTCAACTTTTTCAATAATCGATTAATCGGCTTCCAAACAGTTGGCCCTGTTCACGGCGGCTCCACAAACGCTGCGCACCGCTGCCAGACCCGCCCGCATCCACGCTCTACACACCGCACCTCCTTCCCGCCTCACACTCACCGCCCGCCCACATCCACGATCGGCACAGGGACGCGGGGAGATGTAGTAAGGAGGAGCAGGTGTGGGGGGATGACAGCCGCCGATAGACAGGCCCGATCTCAGAAGCAAGTTGCTGGAAGACTGCTCAGGTAAGCCTGCACTTTCCCACACATGGTGCTCTATAATGTATTGCTGGGATTTGTATTCCTCTATAGCTGATGGTACATTGTGCTGTATATGATACATAGGAATACAAATCCCAGCAATACATTATACACTGTATGTATAATGTATTGCTGGGATTTGTTGTACTCCTTTATAGTTGGTGATATTCTGCACTGCGCTGTATAGAGGACTACAAAACCCAGCAATAGTACATTATACAGCGCAATGCAGAATACCGCCAGTTATAATGTACTATTGCTTGGATTTGTTGTAGTCCTCTATAGCTGGTGATATTCGGCATTGCGCTGTATAATGTACTATTGCTGGGATTTGTAGTCCTCTATAGCCGGTGCCAGTCTACATTCATTGCTGTATAATTTTACACTTTCCATTTCACTATATTGCACACCACACAATTTTTTTTACTTTCACCGCTCCAAGCTTGCTCCTGTGATGGACTACAATCTTAATACAAACTAGTAGTCCATCACTGGAGCCATTTTAAAAAATGCATTGTATTGTTTATCCGATTAATCGAACGTAATAATCGGCTAACTAATCGATTTTGAAAATAATCGTTAGCTGCAGCTCTAAACTTTATAGACAGGAAACACACTGCAAATAAATATTTAAAATACTTTAGGCCAATAGATTCTATGGAAAGAAGTTCTTGAAATAGACATTGTCAAAATATATATAACAAAAATGCCATGAATGACTAAAACAAAATACACAAAAAAATGACAGGTCTTTACTATGGAAACCAAAAATGATCACTGCAACAGTAACTATTTAAGCTTAATCATAGCAAAGGTGTTTCCTGTCATTGCTCTCCTCAGGTATTTGTCTGAAGGGTGCATACCAACAATACTCCAAGGAGACAGACGTCTACAAGTGACAATCTTCTGACCACTCGAGTGGTGATAAGATCTCTCAATACCTTCTCAACAAAAGCCTTAACAGCAACTGGGGAAGTCCTTGTTCCTTTGTTCTTACCTGGCTTCTAGGGTGTTTAAGAGTTGGGTATTGCAAGCATTTGTTCTTTAACCTAGCCATTAGTGTTAGCGAAACCCGAACACTCTAGCGTAGCAATTTTTGGGGGGTGAATATACAGGGGAGAGCGAGACAGCCAGGGGAGAGAACAAGGAGAGCCAGCCAGGGGAGGAACAAAGGCGAGCCAGCAGAGACAGCCAGGTGAGAGAACAAGGAGAGACATCCAGGTGAGAGAGCAAGGAGAGACATCCAGGTGAGAGAGCATGGAGAGACATCCAGGGGAGAGAGCAAGGAGAGACATTCAGGGGAGAGAGCAAGGAGAGACAGTGAGGAGAGACAGCCAGGAGAGTGAGGAGAGACAGTCAGGAGAGCGAGACAGGATAGAGAGTTGAAAGACATCCAGGGGAGAGAGCAAGGAGAGACAGCCGGGGGAGAGACAGGAAAGACAGCCAGGAAAGTGAGAGAGATTGGAAATGTATGAACTGTCAGTACCTAGTCACAGCATAGGTCTACACCCAGACAGTGCTTGAATCGCAGCTGCATATGTGCAGGAACACCAGGCAGGGCCACCATTAGAAATCATGAGGCCCATACAGACTTCGTGGCTGGGCTCATCCCCCATCCCCCCTTTTCCAGTCAGCTTG